TTAATGGGCTGATTTTTTATTTAATTTTTTGTTGGTTAAACTTATTAAAAATGATTTTTCATTTTTATAAGGTTTTTTTTTTTTTTTTTTTTCAAAATTCGAATATTAATTATTATAATTTCTGAATTTTTTTTTTCCATAATTAATTATAAGAATTTTAAAAAGAAAATTTATTTTTTTAATTAAGTTTAACCTGTAATAAAACAAATAAAAAAAAATCAGCCAATCAAAATTGAGTATAATAATAGTAAATTTAAGGATGACTACCATAAAAAACATTCGTTGTCTAACATTGCTTGTGCAAATTAAATTTTGAAAATAATGTCCATGCACCGCTCATGCCCACTGACGTGCCTATCATTATCTAAAAAAACAAGTCATTATATGTTTCACTTTTTCACAACTTAAAAAAAAAAAATTGTTGAAAGTTGATATTGTAAAACTATACCTCGGAAAGAATTAAACAAATACATGCATTAAAAATCTTAATTGTTAAAAGTTGACATTGTAAAACTATATTATCTAAGCACGCATTAAAAATCTTCAAATACATATAATAAATCTATATTATCTAAGCACGCATTAAATATCTTCAAATACATATAATAAAATATTGTTGAAAGTTGATATTGTAAAACTATATCTCGAAAAGAATTAAATAAATATAATTTTTCCATATATACATTTATTACTAGTGTATTAAATAATGTTAGAACTTTTAGTAGAAACGAAGGAGGTTTCTAACATAAAAATAACTCTAAAAATAACGATATATACAATCAGTCTACCATATGTATTATTGACTTGGCTTGTACACGTTGATGAATGACGTGCACAAGCCCCAATCGCTATAATTAACATACATGTATCATGTATGACATTCTTGTTGGGTGACTTACACGCATTACATTTACACATACTATTTTAAATACCATACATCGAGTACATCTTTCTGGTAATTTATAAGCTCGAGTTTGGACATGTACAAATCACCTCGAAAGCTTACAAGTTACAACCTTGATTACAAGCATTATTAATATTCGATCAATCTCTAAATTATACTGTATTCTAGCAACTAACAAAGTCGTACAAAACCTGTTTTTCAGGCATCTTTAAAGCTAATTAGTCAATGTTTCACACCTATATTATTTATTACACTTTATTATATTTTCTTCATGCATTATTATTTACTAGTAGTATTATTCTAAGATGTAATGTTGGGGTTGAGGTAAGACTTTCCAAGTCAACGTAAACTCCTTGGAAGTAGAGAGAGGATCTTGCATTACTTGCATGTGTTTTGTCCACGACTTAATTAATTGTACTGTATCGTCTGTATGTGTATGTAGTACTTGCTTGCATGGGATTTCCTGTTTCCTTTTTCCTTTTATTTTTGTGTTTCTTGGAGATTATGATTAAACTGAAACTCAATTTGCAATTCGAGTAATGTACTCTCATTATCTTTATAAGTTCTTTTAGTTTTGACTTTATTTTTGTGAGATAATTAATAATATATAAGCTCATCACACTGTATGTATTACAGTAGGCAAGTCAACTGGCTCGCTAGATTGTTTGAATAAGGTTTATCTTATAAATCAATTTTATTTTCAACCTGTCTTGTGTGTGGCTGGCCATACCGTGTGACCACTTATAAAAGAACAAAGTAACCCTTATTACAATGATCAAGTAACCCCTGTAATACTGACCGAGTAACTCCTATACACTGATTGAGTAACCCTATAACACTAACGAAGCAACCCCTTTTACACTGACCAAGTAATCCCTATTACACTAACGAAGTAACCCCTATAATAGTTGGCCACACGATTTGGTCAGCCACGTATAAGAATTTGTGTTCTATTTTAGTTCTCTATTTTGATGAATGAAATAAAGAAAGTCTTAATTTAATTTTGAGTAACATAAACTTCACTTTTATTTCGGTCTAAATCAAGCCATATTATTTGAAGTAACTTACAAAAATGCATGTTAGTCAAATATTCAATTCTTATACTTCGTAATAAACTTAAAGTCATATATGTCCAGGCCATTTGTGCACCAAAAAAAAATATATGTCCAGGCCATTTGCATGGGCAGGACTGCAGGAATGAAATTTAATTCCAACCCATGGTGATGTGCCAAGTCAACATCTATTATATGGATTAATAACCCTTTCATTTTATGATTAAATGGCTAGCGGCCTTAATACGTAGTACGTTCTATTCATTTCCTTGTTAAATATAGGGTGGTCTACGTGCGGGCTAGCTCTTGCAGAAAAGTTGTATTGGCATGTGTTTACACCTTTGATTTGGGTGGTAGTTTTAATACGTACTATTTGGTTTATGTGCGTTTGAAATCTACCAAAATCTTTGATGACGATTATTTTTTAAAATCCCTCTAAGTTTGACAGTATTATTCCAAAATTATTATTAAATAATATTTAATTAAGTTGCGTCCCTTCATATCATATTATTATCCCTTCATATCTTAAGGGGCATTTGTTAGTTTAGAACTCTTAATTGATTTGCATGTTTCAATAATACTTAGTACTACCTCCGTTAAATATTAGTTGCAACTTTGGAATATTTTATATCTCACAAATAATACCCCAAACTTGCAACTAATATTTAACGGAGATAATATAATATTTCTAGTGTGTTTTCAGATGAATTTTTGTGAGCATACGTCATATACGGAGCAGTAATATGTGAAATGTTGCAGCTATAAACTTAATAATATAAGTTCTTTAATGTTCTACGAACATCTAATATCTATATCTAATACTAAAGCAATAACCACTTATTAGTTATATTTTTTTTCTTAAATTCCTTTATTTTCTCTCCCATAATTAATACTAGTTTTTTTTTTTTTTTTTTTTTTTTTTTTTTTTTTTTTTTTTATCTATCACCAATTTCCTTTGATTTTAGGATTTTTAAGTTCTGTATACCTTTTGATAGCATCTGCTCAGATATCACTATTTAATATGAATTGCATTCACAATTCCATAACGTTGTTTATGTGCCATCATATAATTAACAATAGTTGCAGTTAAAGGACGACAAGATTGTAAATAAGAAGAGCAACCACGAAGGAGTAAAAATAAACAGTCTCTTCTTACATACAATTTTTTCCTTTTTAAATAATAATAATAATAATAATAATAATAATAATAATAATAGTAATAATAATAATAATAATAATAATAATAATAATAATAATAATAATAATAATAAAGCATTAGAAGTTTTTTTATTATTCAAAAAAAAAAAAAAAGCATTACAAGTTTTTTGTTAAACAAAACTTGAAATTAACTGATGATATGTTTCCCTCAAAAAAAAATAATTGATGATATTTTTAAGGAAAAAAAACATTAAATATATTAATGAGGGTAAAAATGTAAATACACATTTTTGTACACATTGTTGTACACATTTTTGAGGGTATAATTGGTACCACACTATTGTTTAAGAGTTATCTTATACTTTTAATAAGGTAGGGATAAAAAAAAAAAAAAATTAAAAATAAAACAACTTTTTTTTTTGTTCCACCCGGTTAACCCTTTGGTCTAATCCGGATTTAGGACTTATTTCTGGGTGATTAGGTTCCAGTCCCTTCTCAATTGCTGTTACGGGGGATCGAACATACGGTTCTCTCTATCCAATGCAACCCCAATCATACACCACTGCACCAACAACCAATTGATTAAAAAAAAAAAAAAAACCTATATGGATTAATATAACTAAAATATATTGGACCTAGTGGTTAATATTAATAACATGTACTCCATAGTGTTAATGTGTTAATAATGCTATGGGTTGATAAGTTGATTAATAACTTCCTTAATTACAAAGCCCATTCTTTGGCTCATATCATGGGCAAGGGTGTTAATTTTTTCAAACCGCAGTTTTAAAAAACCGCAATGTGGTTTGGTGCGGTGCGCTTGCGCTTTAATCAAATTTTTTAAAAAAATTATAATTATTTTTTTTAAAACAAAATTTTTTATTTTGTTTTGTAATTATTAAAATATTAAACTCTTTTTTTTAACCTTTAATTAACTAATAGTAAAAAATTAGCTCATATACTTTAGTTCTTTTACAAATTTTTAATAAAAATATAGTATAAATACCACAAACCACATTAAAGTCCAGTTTGCGGTGAGGTTTGGTCTAAATATTTTTGGAAACCGCACCAAACCGCAAACTGCGGTTTAATCACTTTCAAAAACCGCACCGCAATTTTCAAACCGCAAACCGCACCAAATCGCAAAATTACGGTTTGGTTTGCGGTTTGGTGCAGTTTAAACCGTACTCTATACAGCCCTAATCCTGGGTGAGCAATTATCTCTCTTGTATTTCTTGTCAACGTTCAGTTAAGCATGTAGTTTAAGTACCCCGTAGTAAATATGTGAACCACTAATCACCCTTTCTTCATTTTTAAAGATGTATTTCGATAATATTTCAATGGATAAATATAATAATATTTAATTGGATATATTGTAAGATGTTTTGGGCAATTGATAGACCTATTTAGCTATTTGCTGAAAGGGAGAAGTTTGTGAAAGACTGCAAGATGCTCATGAGATGCAATTCACAGAGATTATGCATCTATTATACGCTTTGACACATATCTGTAATACTTTATAAGAAGGTAATGACATACGAAGTATACAGGTAATACAATCCTAAAAGTTACACTTAGTCACTTACACTTATCTACAAGACTACAATAGGTGGGTAGCAATGATAATGCCTCTCGGACAATCCTAAGGGCTACATATAAGCATTTAATTTAATACACTTCGGACAAAATCACACATCAATCAGTGTGATTAATGTTTAATAAAGCTTAATAATATCACTTATGTTTCCTTATATTAGCTCAGAATAAAAGGAACTTTGGGTGGTGCAACTGTGGAAGGGACTTAAAGAAGACAGACTATACACTTCAATTATTCTATGTTAGACAATAAATCAGCAAAAGTTGGCTCCGATCATCATTGTTAATCATGGTGCAAAAAGGCCGATTTATTATGCTAATCATCAAGCGAGCATGAAACACGGGTAGCATTTTCTGATCTGAGTAGTAAAAACTATATAATCTGGGTGTACTTATACGAGCTAAAACCCTATACGCCTCAATCTGCATAACAGAGTACCACAAATGCCTGCTTATATTAAATCAGCATACAAAATTACGAGCAATGGTGGAAAACCATCAATCTGGACTGATCAATCACGATGAAGCTACTCCAGTTTTGAGTAGCCATCAGCCCCTTCAGTAAAGATCAAGACTTCGGTTTAGTTTGCTGCTAATTTTCCTTTACTAGCCAAGGTTGATTTCCTTCTAGATATAACCTCAGCAGCCCAGCTTTTTCCTAATTCAGTCTGAAACTTTCCTGAAAATTGTATAAAGTAACATTGGATATTAGCTATATGAGGTTATGGAGCAAAAGGTTAGAGTACAACATTTCATGACAGAAAGCCGGGCTCACCAGCTGTTGACAGGAAGAACTCATCAAGAACCATCCCATGCTCTGTCAAATAAATAAGAAAGCAAACATCAGACCTCAAAACTTCAATGTCAGTGCAGCCAAATTAAAATCTCCATATTTGTGGTAAAAATCAAACAGGTACAAAAACATGGATATTAAGCCACGATGCAAGTAACCATGTAAACCCTGGCCCCTGGGTTATACAAACCCTTACTGCATTGGTCAAATTAAATGTATTCCCATGAGCAAACATTGACACTATCAAAATATGCTTGCGCTTGTCTAAATTAGCAAGCAAATTCAAGTACAATAATGTACAGGTCTCTTAAAAGATCAATGCAGCACCATCACCTCAGGAGCTACATCCATTTTGTCCAAAACTACAACCCAAGTAATTTAGCAATCACAAGTAGGTCAAGTACCAATCCTACAGCTTAGTGTGTCAAGATGCATCACTATACAACCAAACATTTTATATTCTTCACTGCAGGCAGGCAGCACATGCTGTCAAGGATGCTTGATTCTATGACAGGAGAGGAAGCAGAAACATGATAGAATGCTGACACATAAATCCCACAATATCTAATCCAAATGCAATTCTTAGTAGTGATTAATCTCACATAGGAAAGACTGGGCATGGTCACATGGGTTGAAATAAAATCATATAGTATTTTATTATTCATAATTGCCAAGAGCCCAAGAGGGATGCTAAGAGAAAACAAAATCATCAGTAGATATGCGCATGGCACTACAAGTAATGCCTGCTAGCAGCAACACGACACGACTGAAAAACATTATAAAAGGTTTAAGAGATGTGAGCCAGTACGAACATGCTGGTTCAGAACTAAAGATATATGGCTGGCATCAATTGGAAGGAGGAAGGGGTGCAACAAACATCAATAACACCTGTTCTTTTTGTCAAAAATAAAGTCGATTCTATCTTAAATTCAATTAATTGAAGGCCACACTAGAGAAGATGGGAGTCAACTAGGGAGTAAAATCTATCAAGAAATTTATAACAGGAGATTATTTATTATGGCTGGAATACATTAGAGAGGGTAATAAGCATTCCACAGAAGACTAATCCTCTTTCTCTGTCTAGAGTAATGATTCCTTCCTTCCCTCCCTTCTTTTTCTTCCTCTGATCAAGTCCCCCAATCAACCAACATCTTCACCTTCCCAACACTCATTCAATAAGTCTCTAATTGATTCCCATTGTACCCTTGAAATCATCAGATAAACCCCTTAATTCAATCCCTTGTTACATGCAAGGAATAAGGAGGTGTCATTTATTACTCGTCTCTTAACTGTCATTTGTGAAAGAGTGATGTCACATAAACTTTTTTTTTTTTTTTTACTTAGAACTTAGACATGTTACATATAAATTCCAAAAAAGATACTATTATAATGTTCAAGGGAAGAAAGAGACAAATTTCAGTGAGGGGAAGGATATCCATGATCATAAATATCAACAGATAACAGCATGGCCTCTCTTGAAAGCTTTTTGCAAATGAATAAAGGTGTGAATGCCTGTCGATGTCATTTCAAACGAAAACCAGGAGAGCACAAGACGAAGCTATGGTCGAAATGCAGAAGAGGTTTAGAAAAACACCTTAAGTTAAAACCTTTACACCAGAATTATTAAATATTTTAAAAGTAATGCTTAATTACAACCTGAACACCAATTGTGATACCACACTATGAACTAAATAAGTAGTGTAAGAGCCATTGTCCAGAATAGAGGAGCCAGGCCAGTAGCCAGTTAGCCACCACCGAACCAAGTAAAAATGAGCATTTAACAATGAGTAGTAGAGTTTTAAAGATTGATGACAGAGTTAATACATGAAATTAATTGTCAAAATAGCAAATTTTTAGCATTTAAGTATAAGCCTTACCAGTTTCATATTCTAACGCCTGAAGAATCATTTCGACCTGGATAGAAGTAATTACTTATTAGAAAATTGGTAGACCAATAAGTTGAAAAACAGGTTAATGGAGTTCCAGAATTCTGATTTAATAAAAAGCAAATACAGTACATGATTATTATAACTAGAAAAATTATGCCAGCAACAATTTTTTTTACCGGGCTATTGTATGTGTCTTTCAAAACCCTGTGAAAGCTAAGTTAACAAGAATGCCCACATAAAATGCTAAAATTGCAAAGGCATATATAATACGTACAACACAAAGGCATTAAAAGGCATCCATATCACGTTGAATATGTGTAATTCAAGTTACAACGTGCAAAAAACTGAATATGCTAAAAGTAACATACTTTATCAAAATCCTTCACCAGATTAGCTTCCAAAGAAGAATTATTTTCATACTCAGTCCAGAGTTCTTTGATCTCGTCAGCTGCAATCACAAGAAAATATGAGCAAGATTCCATACTAACAAAAAAGGTATGCAAAATATTAAAGAAGGCAGCTATTGCCAACCTCTCATCCCACCACCAAGAACTTCACACATTTCATTCAATGCTGCCTGCTCCATTCTGCTCTTTTCTTCTTTTGGTATGCCATCAGAGGGTGTTATATCTCCAACAATAGCTAGTAGTATTCCAAGGTCATCAAGAGGATAACGACAAGAATCAGAAATCAGCAATCTAGGGAAAATAGAACTCAACACAGTGCAATAATTTGAAGATACAAACGATGTTCACTCATAATCAACAGTGATTTGAAGTTCTAGCACAAACAAGATAATAGGATAACATAGGAGTAGTGGTGCATAAACAAATATGAACCTGACATTAATCTTTAAATGCTGCATATTAGCATAAAACTGAAAAACCATCTTTCACTTAAGAAGGCACCACAAGGATTAAGTAGATACTATTCCTAAGTAGTCAAATTCTAGAGACTTCAATAAAACCCAAATTGATATTTAGTTTGTAACAGATGAATATGTGATAATTACACTATTTTGGTTTATACAAAAGCCGAAGAGTCCTAATGCAGTGAAGAAATAAACAATATAGGCAAGCTGATTCTTGTCACAAAGAATATCAACAACTTATAATACCATGAGAACATAAGATATTGTAAAAAACTAAAAAGAGTATACCTTCAGCAATATCATGAACTACTGCCATCTTGATACATCTGTGCAAAGCATTGTCAAAAGAAGATAATACAGCTCATCAGCAAGGGAAATACCAATATGTCCAAAACAAGCATAATTGGTTAACATCCAACCTCTCCCTGTTCACACCCGGAATGTCCCCAGCAATCAAACCCATCAACGCCATTCGATACATATGATCAGCAATAGATTCAGGGCCCTTAATCCGATGATTAATCCATCCCTTCCTTTTTGTGGTCTAGCAAGAAAAGTTCACAGGCAGATATATAACAGAACGGTTGAATGAAAAACAAGATATACTCCATCTTGTCCAGTTACAAAGTTCTCAAATTACAAAGTTATTGTACATCAAGCTGGTCTAATAACATGAATACATCATACAGAACCAAAGTAATAACACATTAGCCATGCATGTCATTACTAAAAAAAATGTAACCTAAATCTTGATTAGAGTTGAGAGAAGCAGAGAACATCAAGTAAAATGGTGAGTTTGGCACAGTAGTATATCTTAAAGCAAGAGTTAAGCATAAGATGAAAACTGAAAAGTAGACCCTAGAGAAAGATGGAAGTGATGAAAGGAGGCAAGGCAAAAAATAAAATCTTAAGAGGGTAAAGCTGGGTGATTTTAGCATTCTCATACCCCCTTAAATTTTATTTTATTTTTTTTCCTTCTTCTTTCACAAGACAAATCTCAGCTTCATTTCCCTTAATTGAAATTTGGTCCAGCAACACAGAATTACAGAAGACATAGAATTGAGGGGCAATCCACTACGGCTCCAACCAAACTCTTGCGTATCCATAAGTGGAGGCAAGTTATGCAAGATGATGTGCAATCCAATTCCCCACCATAAATACATGAACAACCTTACAATAATTGAAACTTCCAACTAAAGCTAAAACATATCGGACAACAATTTGCACAAATGATCTTTCTGACAGTCTGACACCTTCATCATAGTCATAAACATTAGCTCTAAGCAATCACTCTCGAGTCACAACCAACACATCTTAAAACCAGCTTTGCAAGCATAAGTCACTGCAATCACAATGTCTGCAAAGCCTCAGCTTCCGCTTACGCAGCAACAACCTCTAAATCCTAACCCAATCCCCCCCCCCCTCTCCTTATTTATACAGATGTACTGACACGCATAGAGAACCTCTGCAAATTTACAACTAAGATTGATAGTTAAGGCATGTTTTTTCCAATTAAACTAATTTTTGGCGAACCTCTAAGCCAAAATTCACAAACAAGAAGTATTAGTTGAAAAGCATATGGGGCTATGGGCAAACTCATATCCACTAGTCCACTACCCAACACAATAAAACAGACATATGATCAAAATTCATGAAAAAGAACCCATTGCTACCATGCAACACTTCAAAAAAAACCATAGCAACTTCAGCAAAAGCCTTGAAAAGTTGAATTCACCCACATTGAGATGAAGCATTACAGAATTCTCTTCAAACCCCAACATTACACACACCAACACAAACATAAATAATAATTGTAATTTGCAGTAACATTCTATCAACTCTTGTCCAAACCTCTATCAAATAACTCCCCATTTCATCACACGCTCATTTGGTAGGGGGTAATAAATAGCTAGTGTCACACTAGAATCATTGCGAAATTACAATTAAATTCATTCCCACCTACCAAATGGGCCGTAAGTATAATCTAGAACACCTAATTTTACAAATTAAAAAAATAAAAAATAAAATAAAAACTCAAAAAGATGAATTAGTTAGAAGAAATAAAAACCAATGCAGCAATAAATAAAAATACAGTACCTTAAGGCGATGACACAATGTAAGAAAATCAATGGCGGACGAAGGCGAAGGCGAGGAATTCGACATGGCAGAAACAGTAGAAGAAGTGCCAATATTAGGAGATTGACAACAAAGTGAGACCAATTTGAGACTTCTACTGAAATTCTTCGATGAAAACGATGGTGTGAAGGAAAAGGAGAGGGAAAATTGGCGGCGAGAAAGAGAATGATAGGAAGGGAAAGAGGAGTGAGAAATTGCAGGAGAAGAGAGCGATGGATTTGCAGTTGCAGACGACATTTGATCGATTTTGTAATGTGGTGAAGAAATTTTTAGGCAAAACAAAAGTATGCCAGAAAGTGCAAGTTTTTTTTTCAGAATTGTTGTTCGTTTTTGTGTTGGTGGCGAAGTTGTGGTATACGGTTGCTGTTCACTTGTTCAACAGTAGGGAGTGAAGTGCGGTTCGTGTGGTTGTTGCCGTGGTTGGTGTATGATCGAAGCTTGTTGTTATGGTTCGAGTCTAAGACCCCCCACTAGCGACTTAGCATTAACGGGTCTACTTTTTCCTACTTTCAAAAAAATTATAGGATTTCTCTTATAAATAGTGTATTGTCAATTATACCCTTTAAGATTTGCATTTACATGTTAACCCTCATTAGTTAGTACTTGTCATTATTACTTAGAATAGTGCGCAGACATTTATACTCCTAAAATATTTGTTTACATATTTTTCATATTAATGTAATCAACAACAGAAAATGCTTCCCAAACATTGCTAGCTATGGCGTGTGCACGCGCATTAACTACCCTAATTTAGGTAAAAAGGATGTGTTGTATCAATTCTGAAACTCGCAAAAAACAAAAAGAAAATATTCTCTTCAAAGTTGGTACTCTTGTTAGTAGGAGAAAAAAAAATACAAAGTATAACTATAGAAGTAGCAAAACTAGGATTTTAGTGACAGTGAAGAATAATAAAATACTAAAGAACAAAGACCTATTTTTAATTTTTTGAAAGAACAAAGAATTAAATTTTTAACACTCTCTTCTTATATCTACTCCCTTTTTTTCTTTTCTTTTTTTCTATTTTTTTTTAATGCATCACTTAAGTTTTCACAATTGTCGAGGCATAACTTTGACCATCAATATATTAAATTAGATATTAATAAAAATTATAAAAAAAAATAAAATTATGTTATGAAAGTAGACATTGTAATGAATACAACAATATATTACCAGATCATGTTTGTAAATTTAATAGTAGTAAAAAAAAATAAGTCGCTAACAAATGAATAGAGTAAAATCACAAGTGATGCATTTAAAAAAAACGGAGGGAGTAGTCCTTAATCAAAGCACTACTACATTTAAGAGCTAATACAACGGCTTTTTTTGTTGTATTAGGTGTCAAACACCGTTGTATTAGACCTAATACAACGGTTACCAACCGTCACATTTGCAAGGGTTGGATTAGGTCTAATACAACGGCAAAATAGACCTAATCCAATGGATTGAGCAATCTGTTGGATTAGGTTCCCTTTTTTTTTTGGGAATAATTGGACCTAATCCAACGGATTTTTCGCTCAATCCGTTGGATTAGGTCCTTTATTTTTTTATTTTTTTTACATCCGTTGTATTAGCCCCCCCTTTTTTTAAAAAAAAAAAACCCGTTGTATTAGACCCCTTTTTTTTCTTTTTGTTTTTTAAAACCGTTGTATTAGGTAATTTTTTTTAAAAAAAATCTATAATAATAAATATAAATTATATTAGTATATTTATAATTTAAATAAACAAAGTACATATAATATATCTTCGTTGCATTACAAAATAAACGAAGTACATATAATATATATTCGTTACATTACAAAAGTAAACGAAGTGTCAATACTAACTAATTATAAATGAAAGTTCATTAGCTAATTAATTAACAAACGTTTAATGTGAAAGCTCTCTAGAAGTTGCAATAGATACATAAAATCAACATTAGTCCTTACTTCATTCATCCCGGGGTAGCTCATCGTCATCAAGCACCTAAGTAAAAAAAGTAATGCATAAGCCACAATACCAACAACAATAACAACACCAATTGGGGAAATTAAATAACGCACAACAACACACAAATCAGTCATCAAAGTACAAAATATACAATAAGAGAACAAAAATCAGACATCCTTGGCAAGATATCATAATTTTAACAATTTTCCACATCCAATGGTAAGTGAAATCAAACAAACAAAAGACATCAGAAGGCTATATCAACAGTTTGAGCTAATGCTATGTTTAAACAGCTCGAAGTTGTTAAATACCAGGAGCATATTAATGTAGAATGCTGTAAAGATTTAAGCAATACTTGTACGCAGTATAGTATTTTTACAAGGGCCTCAGCCCCCTTGGGATAAAACAAAGCTTCATCCCAGGCTAAGAATTACTTAGAGAGATTGATTACTTTCTTCTTGAATATTGGAAGATAAATAAAAGGGGAGAGACTGACTATCATCCAAAGATAAAGGTTTTATGAGATTCCTCAGGAAACCAAGTTATCAAAATGGAAACCCACTTCCAGGATTTAATACATCAAAGAGATAAAAATAGAAGTTAAGGCATTTTAGATGTCTCACATGGGAGACAAGATCCAGCATAATGTGATCAGCATACGACATTAATTATCGCACACCTGATTGTTATGCTCGGGGAATGCTAGAGGGAGATAAGGAGTGGAATGATGCAAGTTGTGAGGCGTCTATATGGGCAAACTCAGCATAACTACGCCAGCCCCTTCTATAGTAGGCAGGCAGGTAGGCAAGCAAGCAGGCAAGCAGTCAGGCAGGCAGGCACGTAGGCAAGCAAGCAGGCAAGCAGTCAGGTAGGCAAGCAGTCAGTCAGGCAGATAGGCAAGCAAGCAGGCAAGCAGTTAGTCAGTTAGTTAGTTAGTCAGTCAGTCAGTCAAGCAGTCAAGCAAGCAGTCAGGGGAAGTTTAGAAATTAAAGTTTAGAGCAGAGAAGTGCAGATTATACCTGATTAAATGATTTTGAAGATTGTCCACTTTGGGCAGTATTTCGATCTGGTGCGCTAGATGCATCATGCGGAGTCAATTGCTGTAGAGTACTAGGAACCACAAGATTAATCCCGGGGTTCACCTCGCGAATCGAATCCAAAACTGCAGCGGTGATGGTAGGTGCAATTTCTTGGACTAATTGTGTTTCTATGCCTACCAGGAATTCCTCCGGGAGTATGTAATTTGACTTTGTATCTTTGTTCTTCAAATCACTCTTCTTCACACCCGAGCCATATAGATGCAAACGACTTTTGCATTTAGGAGGTGGAATCACTTCACTGTAAGGGTCATTGCATACATTACCATCTTCTTGTGATTGTGCTGACTCCAAAGCATCAATTTTGTCCTGTTTAGGCAAACATAGTAATATGTTACTAATTATCGAATAACTAACAATATTTAGGCGTACAATGTTACTAATTATCGAATAACTCACAATATTCTCTTTTGCTTTTTCAAAGCTGCTAATGTATGTCCTTTCAGCACTTCTTTTTCTTGATTCCTTGTAAACCTTTGCTTGAGAAGGTTCTTTCTTGTCTGGATCTTGTTGTTGCTATATATATGTAAATCATAATATATGAAATTAGAATAAAAATATAGTCAACATGCCTATAATTTAGATTTTAAAAAATGTACTTACCAACTCATGGCGTAAAATAGCATATGATTTGCGTCCCAAAGTGTGCATATCATCTAACATTAGACGATTGCTTTTGTTGCTTTGGCTAATTGCCTAGGGAAAATCGGAAACCACTATTTAATTCAAAATTAAACACATATTAGATAAAATTATTCGAGAGAATTAGATTAGAATCAATATACAGTACCTTCGCCTCATCGGTATGCCAATATTGTAGAAGATCTAGGAACATCTGATCGGAGATTGTATCTGGTTTATGTTCCCACCTTAAATCATCCGTATCATATGCATATAAGTGTTTCTTCTTGATTTGGCATTTATAATATTTCCAACAACTATTTACAGTATCCATCACCCAATTTAACCCGGCATGGGGGACCATATACTTCTCCTGTTCAAGCTAAAACATTAGTAACGTGTAGAGGTGTACGTGTAATGCAACAGTATCATTGTATACTACCTGGACATAATCCAATATCTTATCAAGTGTCGGTAGGCTAGGAAAATTTCTGTAGTTAAGCGGTGCAAGTTCGGAATCCCTTGCCACCGTTCCCAGAAAAAACTTGAACTCTTGCACAATCTCCTTAGTAGGTCCAACTGGCTGACCTAATGAGTTCAGAACAATCACAGGACGCTCCTCTCTTGAACGTGCGTGAACTCTGTGGAGCATTGTTCGACCTCGATGTTTTTTCCTTTTCGAGGACAATTCACTTGGTGGATCTGTGGTAATAAACACTGCATTCGTAAGTTTATCCAGCTTAACAAGTTTATATATATCTCAACCAGTGCTTTAACAAAGATGGCAGAATCAGATAAGAAAGATTTTTCAACTGAGAATGCAAAAGAGAAAATGTTATTGCTAGGTAATTTTAAATGCGTGTACTTTATTGATGTGTATTAGTTACAGCAAATTCCATAAACTATACTAATGTATAAGTTGCTACATTATTCTCTCCATTTTCCATTCAGCCTTACTTTTGATGGTTATGTGTCTGTGGTACTTCTAGAAAAAGTTAAATTATCGAAATGATTTATGTTTATCACTTAGAAGAATCTGTCTATCAGTTGAGGGTACTGCTGCAATTCATGATGAATTAGAGATATTAGTTGAATGAGTGCAAATGGAATAAGATAGGTGCTGAAACACTTCATGTTATTTTTTCACTGTGGCAGTGGAGCAGGGAGAACCTAAGGAAGTATTCAGAGACAATATCTTATTAAGTTATGCTTTTCTTTCCTGTGTTCAGACTTTAAATTGAAATATTACATATTATATATTTTTAGCCATTAGGTCTAATATGAAATAGATACGATTATTGAACAAACTACAAATTTTAAGTTTCAGGAATCAGAGGCAAAATATAAGCTCCATTGCATATACATGTGTTTTTCTTTTATAAATGTCTAGGAAGAATGTATCTACTTCTTTATTGGAGTTTTCAATCTATTTATGTCTGTCAAAGAATATTTATACTATTAATTATATCTATAATTATATTTTACTAAAATTATAACAATTTGACAGGTTAACCTAAGGCAATCATAATTGATGATCAGAATATACCTTCCATTCCAAACTGTGCCATAATTGCTCGTTCCACTGCTTCATTGCCCTCACAATCGAACTGAAGAGCACAATCGGTCTCATTCAGCTGCTCATCATCATAATTTTGCCCTTTTTCATGCACCTCACTGCTCATCATCAGCGCTTCATCCTTTTGTCGTTTCCAAAACTCGAGGTAGGCTGACATTGAGCCAGGAGAACAGAACGCTCTTTTCTTCACAGATGCCTTTGTTGACCCCAATTGTTGTTCTTGCTGCTTCCTTTGAATTTCCCGTGTAGGAACTGGATGTTGTTGAGAAGAGACCTATAAAACAAAAGCAAAACAAGTTACTATGTGACGGGTCTGGAAGAGCAAAGGCAGGAATGTATATGTCGTCAAAAAACCCAAGAGACATTGTGTATCATCAAATCAATCCACAATACATTAAACCAAAGATAGAAAAAAAAAAGAGCGATTATGAAGCTGAAAGATATAAATTCCAATCATTAGCTTAAAAATGTATGGGAACAGCAGTAAAAACATTAAGATCAGCAAACAATCTCAACAAGCAACAAGACTGATCATCATACTTCTAGTAGCTAAGTCTGTGAGCTAGTGATCACTAAACCAGATTAGCAACATTTTTTTTAAAAAATCTAAGCAGGTAAGTCTCAAACCCATCACAACCACTTCCGCATCCGGGATCCACTAGCTCAAGCCACTGCCAGTCATCACACTTCAGGTATGATAAACCTCAGGAGCACTGTGGAAGCTAGCACTGCTGACAAACGAGTCTAAGCTCATTAACAGAACAACAACACGTAATAGCTGGAAGGAGGCTATGTAATCTTGACTAATAAGATAAACCAAAATGATTCATGTATGCTCATGCTTAGTAAACCTAATACAATCTTCTTGATAGTTGAGACTAGTGCAGACTTCAGGAACTAAATTTATAGAGGAGAATGACCAGAAAATTAAGATAATTCCTACACAACTTATACCAAGAGTCTGGCAGAGCAAAGGCAGGAATGTATATGTCGTCAAAGCAAATTCAAGTTACTAAAGATACCTTTTCACATACTTGTCTTTTTTCAATACCAAGAGTTTCTTGTTCCATATCAGAGTCTCCTGAGGAGCCATCATCTGTCTGCCTCACACTCGAACAAAGTATGTTGCGTGTTTTTTGTTGCAATATCTTATTCGCCAAGGATCCCGATCCTTGGGCTGACATTCTTTCAGCATTATGCTTCAATTTTCTAAGCCTTTGTAACTCATAGTCTGGAAGCTGACTTTGGGAATTAGAAGCTTTTGCTTTACTCCCCTTCATCTGCAAAGCCATTCAATGAGAACATGTTTACAAACCATAAAAGATAATAATATGAAAAACAATGCAATATAATATAATATAATATGAAAAGCAGTGCAATATAATGTAATATAAATTGTTAGGGAAAAAACCATTAGAAAGCTCTCTAGGAGGGATTTGAACAGCATAATGCCAACCATCTCTATTAAGATCTTCAACATAAAACACTTGATGTGCTTGAGATGCCAAGATAAATGGTTCTTCTTTAGAAATTGTCTTAGACATATTAATCATTACAAGCTCATCATCGTCTTTTTCAGAGTGAAACCACACACACTTAAATAAGACGACACGGAAATAGCCATGGTAAGATACTGAAATGATGTCTGTTATTGAACCATAATAATTAACATTAGCCTCAACAGGATTTTGATCTTTGGAACTCGCAAAGCTATGTGTCATGGCCGTTAGAGTGACTCCACTATTTTGAGTTACACAATTAGCATCGCGCTTCATGGTATGGAACCTATAACCATTGACTGAGTACCCTGTATACTTTTTAGCAATGTAAGAAGGCCCTTTTGATAACCATATGATATTGTTAAGGATGATCTCTTGACCCTCTTCAACAATGAAATCAACTTTCTCCCTAAACCAATCCACAAAATCCTTGCTGTGATCTTGAACGCTATCCCATTTTCTTTTTCCTCTAGCGCTTACAAATTCCTTGTGCTCACTATGAAATAAAAAAAGATTACTTTATTAACACTACAATTAAAACATATTGAAAACCAAGAGAAAAAGAAAAAAAACTACATTTTGGTTGGTAATCTAACCTTATATATTTCTCAACTTCCTCGCAGTCACAATTGAACAAGACATAACGATGCGCTTGTACCCATTGATTGTAATCAAGTATGTGTTCACGGTCTTTTTTCTTTGATGTCCTTCCTTTCCCTTTTATTGGACGTCCTACCTTAGGAAGAAATGATTGTGATGTACTACAGGCATTAACTTGAGGTGTGGCCGAGTTTGATCCATTCAAAAATCTAGCTACAAAGGCAACACATTCTTTGGCTAGATATCCTTCTGCCATTGAGCCTTCTGGACGAGCTTTATTTCGAACATCTTGCTTCAGTCCATGAAGATACCTCTCAATCCCATACATACACCTTGAACTTACAGGTCCACCCAACTTAATTTGGCCCACCAAGTGTAGAGGTAGATGTACCATTATATCAAAAAAGGCAGGTGGAAAAATCCTCTCAAGTAGGCATAATGTTTCAACTATCTCATATTGCAATTTTTCAAGATGTTGAGGATCAACAGTTTTACTCCATGTACTTTTAAAAAAACCACAAAGTCTAATCAAAGGAGTAGCAACATCTTTGGATAATGTTGTCTTCACTGCAATTGGGAGCAAATTATTCATCATAAAATGTGCATCGTGGCTTTTGTAGCCTGCAATTTTCCTTTCCCCAACTTGTACACATCAACCAATGTTAGAAGCATAGCCTTGAGGAAGTTTGGCATTTTTGAAGACTTGGCAGAACTTACGTTTTTGCTCCAATGACATCCAAAAGCGGGATCTTGGAAATTCTTCGCCACCATCTTCCAATTCTCTTGGTTGAAGCTCCGGCATCAAATTAAGCTCTACCAAATCTCGACGAGCACTCACATGATCCTTGGTCTTTTGAGAAATGTCTAACAATGTCCCGATGACACTATCAAACACATTTTTCTCAATATGCATTACATCGAGGTTGTGACGATTAAGACAATGCTTCCAATATGGTAACTCGAAGAAAATGACCCTCTTTTTCCACGAATTCGGATCATCAACATCACGCCTTGGTTTCTTTTGCTTATTTCCAAATTCATTTGGAAAATCACGCAACAGATTAGCTACATCAATTCCATTCAATGGAGTTGGTTGATGTCTTTCCTCAACTTTCCCATCAAAATTCCTCTTATCACGACGCCAAGGGTGAAATGGAGGTAGAAATTTACGATTTTCCCTATACACATTCTTAGCACTATAAGGCAACCACTCAGAATCTAATTCATAATGACACTCAGGGCACGCCAAGTATCCTTTTGTGCTCCAGCTAGATAACATCGCATAAGCAGGAAAATCACTCACGGTAGTCATCAATGCTACATGCATGTGAAACCTCTGGTTACTCGAAGCATCATAAGTTTCCAGTCCGAACTCTCACAAATCCTTTAAGTCCTTCATTAGTGGTTGCAAATATATGTCAAGGTCATTGCCTGGGGAAGAAGGACCCGGAATTAGTAGTGCTAACATCAAATACTCAGGCTTCATAATCATCCAAGGAGGCAAGTTGTAATTGATCAACATAACTGGCCAAGTATTATGTACAATACTCATTGAGTTGAACGGGCTGAAGCCATCTGTGGCTAGTCCTAGCCTCACATTGCGCGGGTCATCAGAAAACTCTTTGTACAAGGAATCAAATTCCCTTTAAGCTTGACCGTCAGCTGGATGATGTAAAAGATAATCATTTTCACGCCCATCCGCATGCCAAGTCATGTATCTTGCCGTTTCTTGACACATAAATAGTCGTTGAAGCCTTTTCTTTATCGAAAAGTACCTAAGAATCTTTTGAGGAATCCTATAGGTCTTTCCTTTACCATTTTCTTGACACATAAATAGTAAAGTCATGTATCTCGCCGTTTCTTGACACATAAATAGTCGTTGAAGCCTTTTCTTTATCGGAAAGTACCTAAGAATCTTTTGAGGAATCCTATAGGTCTTTCCTTTACCATTTTCTATGTCATCCTCTTTGTCCTTTGATTTCCATCTTGGTGTTTTACAAACATGGCAGCTTGTTGCATTTTCATGCTCTTCCCAATATATCATGCAATCGTTTGGACATGCATCAATCTTTGTATAATCCAACCCCAACACTTTCAAAACACTTTTCGCTTCATTGAAAGAAGTTGGCAACTTTGCATCAGGAAACACCTCCCTTATAAGCTCCAATATATCTCCAAATGCGGCATTGGTTATATTATGATCACACTTCAAAATAAAAAGTCGAATCATGAAGGAAAGTTTTGAGTGATTTTTGGAACCAGGATACAATTCTTCTTTCCCTTCTTCAACTAACCTAAAAAAAAATTTTGCCTCATCATTTGGCCCCTCTTTAAAAGCATCACGTGCATCATGCAACAACCTCACTACGTCATCGCTAGAGTCATTTGGGATTGACCCTTGATCATTATCCAAAATAGTTTCTTCTCTTTGGATATTGAACCCTAAGTCTGATAACTTATCCGATCTTGGAACAAAACCATTACAAATTAGATGGTCTCTCACCACACCTTCACACCGCCAAAAACGATAATGACAAATTTGACAGGGACAACAAATTTGATTTCCTTGAGACTTAATAGCAAAAGCCCTTTTGACATATTCGTCGACTCCTTGTTCATATTCATCGCTCCATTTGGCAAACATCCACCAATTCTTAGTTCCACCTTCCATTCCTTAGGGTAAAAATAGAAATTAACAGAGTAAATAGGAAAAATTATTTGATAATTCTAGAAGGCCTTGACTTAAGTCCCTAATTTAGCTGTTACATAATGTTCCATATTTTGATTGATGTGGATTAGAATTTAAAAACAAGCAAAACCCATATTTAATTTACCATTTACATCATACTGAACAATTGACATTCAACAGTAAGTAATGAACAGAAAATAATAAAGCAAACAATTAAATAGGCACAGGCACAGGCACAACTATTAGTTTCCATACTCTTGCTTTTAAGTTCCTTGCGGTCCAGATCATATTTTCGAAGGGAGTATTTTTGTATGATTTAGCTGCAAATTTGTCTCTCTTGAAGTTATTGATTCCCTTTTGTGTTTTCAAATGTCTTTGGGCCAGTGGGGGTGCATCTGTCTCCATTGATCTTTTGCATTCTTTTCTTGTTAAAAAAATTATGTATCTTTTCTATTGCTGGTTTTGGAGATTATGGAATTTGGTGGAGGGAGATTTAAAATTTTGGAGGGATGACATGAACTGGTTAAATAGGCACCATTTTGCATTATTGCTTGATTTGTTTAAAGCTCAGTTTGTTGTTTTATTTGTTAGGCACAGTTGAGTACAAGTTGTTTGTGGGGTCACTGAACAAGCTTGCTACAGAGAAGGAAGTGGAGGAGGTATTATTTGGAAATTCTTATCTTTTTTGGTATTTGTAGTCCATAGTCTGCATCATATGATCCAGCTGATGAGGTTAATAAATGTAAAAGTATGTTACCACTTTACCTTATTGCTCAACTTTGCTGAAATTTTTTGAATGAAATGTCATCGGGTCATTTGTTAATATGAAGACCACTATTCTTGTGATTAATGTCTTGTTCATCTTCTAAACCTAATTGGATCTTTTGCTGTCTTTGCTGAAATCTGTTTAATTCATCATATCTAACAATGTTAATATCTTTTTATTCCTATAGGCATTAGGTGCCTACTGTAGTTCCTAGACTCTTGTTACTCATTCAGGGTCTACTCTTTGATGTACAAACCATTAGAAACGGTTTTAAAGTGTTCCTTCACCTCTATGTTACCCCAATCCTTTCCCATCCAGCCCCACGTACTGCCTCCCCACCCATTCACCTCTATAAACAACCGATTCATCTTTCTCCCTTATAACACGACCTTCTCACCAATCTTCTTACAGTTTTACGCCCACCTTCCTTTCCTTGTAAATGATTTTATCGGCATTCTCGTTGTTTATGCTGTGTTCTGCTTCTCTCCATTTACCAAAACATTGATTTTTTTTTGGCTCAATATTTTAAAAATTTACTCTTGTTCCCTTTAATTTTGGGCCTCCCATCCCTTTCCAATAGTAGTTTTAGCTGAATAATTGATTGGCAGTGATAACAGTAAGACTGTAATAATTTTTGCTGGAGTTCAAAAGTTTAGTGTAATACTGCCAGCTTTCGAGCTGTAGTGACTCCTAAGGCAAAATCAAAGGGCATTAATGATGGAGAAGCTCTGTGAGCCTTCCGCTAAGTGTTTTAATACCATTTATTCATTTAAAGCACTTGAAAATATTAAAATTGAAGCAAACCCAGATCATATTTCACGCTACTAATTAGTCAAAAACAGCAAATTTGATGAGAAAATCCACTTCAAAATTAATATGAAGTAGTGTCTATCAAAACAGAAAAAGAAAGTAGTGATTCGGTCATAAACACTATATTTTGATTTATTCATGCAAAAGAGTACATTCAGATATTTAGTCCATCTGTCCATGGAAATTGAACAGGCCAAACTAACCCGGTAGAAAGTACATGACAAGAAATAGCTTCAAGATTCCAATTTTAAGATAGAGAACGTTGTAGTTCGTCAGTGCACCTAAGATCACTTCATCTAACTCATTTCTGGAAAAAGGGAACATAATCAAGAACATGGAACCTAGAAAAGTAAGGACAGAAGCTCGGTAACAGAGGAAATCCAAAGCACAGACCACAGTAAGATTTAGAAAACAGAACATAGAGCCGAATGATATATCAAGGAGCAAAAAAAGAGTTCGAATTGCATAAAGCTACATAAGCGAATTGCCTGTTGGGTTATGTTTATAGCAAATTGTCCAAATACGCCCACCCAAACAGATTTACATAAAAAAGAACAAAGGTTGTAGCATAATTATGAGCAATGTCTGAGCCAAAGTAATATAAAAACAAACGGCACAAAATAAGTTGTCTATTATACTACAGAAGAAAATTAGATACTGTAACCTCATATTAATTGTACAGGTTTTACAAGAAGCAAACTGCAAAGGCCACCAGAAAGAACTGAGAAAAGGTTAAGATTCGAGCAGCTAACTTCAACAGGTATGTCAAGTATTCCCAAATAAACCCCCAAAAAAAAATTAGGGTTCATAAATCGAAAAACCACCCCAACAACCACCCTCAAGCAAGCAATCAGCCACATGCAACATTCGAACAAATCAACAAATCCAAAGATTCGAGCAATCAGCCACATGCAAGGTTCAAACTAAAACTAATTACAAAACAAAATCAACAAATCCATAATTGGTAGACGAAAATTCAAGGTATACCTTAAATAGAGATTTGAGCACGAAGCAGCGGCGGCAGCGAGCAACAGCGAGCTAGGGAGGAGAACGAAGGAAGGAGCAGCAGCGAGCTAGGGAGGAGAACGAAGGAAGGAGAAGTTTGGGAAAGGGGTTTCAATTTCATTTTTGGCTCTAATATTTCAGCATTTCCCGGGTTTTTTTTGTTTTTTTTTTACTCATCCGTTGTATTAGGTCTTATTCTTTTTTTATTTTTTTTTATTTTTTGGGGCTGATCCGTTGGATTAGCTCCAACTGAAAAATAAAAAAATTCGGGAACACTATCCGTTGTGTTAGAAGAATAATCCGTTGGATTAGCTCATCTAATACAACGGTTAGTATAAACCGTTATATTAGCCCTGTTTTAGTGTAATACAACGGATTAGCCTAGTCTAATACAACGGTATGAAATTAGCCGTTGTATTAGCTATTTTTGTACCGTTGCATTAGATCAAAAATGTAGTAGTGAAGACAGCTTAAACCTAATATTTTGTCGAAGCTATAAGCACCAATATTTTTGGAAATATATGGCAAAAAAAAAAAAACATTTAAAGTACTCACTTTGTTAATTCTCAACACCTTAATGAAATAAAATTTAGTAAATGTTGTAATTTGTTATTATTATGGATGTTCATTATGGCTTGTAACTCCCCCGTCTTTATGACTCTCATTATAACCTCCTTATATTATGACTACTTTACTACACTTTGTAACCCCTACTTAAATGGACTCTTCATTGTCCATGTGGGTAATCATATACTCATGTATAAATATGGCATAGCTTAATGAAATGGAAGAGAGAAAACATTACCATCTATATCTTTCTCTACACTATTCTCTATTCTCTTTATTTCATAACACGTTATCAGCACCAAATCTCTAAAATATAGATTAAAGTTTTAATAATACTTCTTATATAATTATTTCCATAATTTTTCCAGTAAGAAAAGGTGAGGCGATGCATGAGGATCCATTCGACTCACTGACGAGTAATTATTCAAATTTGATGATTATATATTTACCGCAATTGCAATTGATGACAAACTCCAAATTAGAGAATGTCAACTCCAAATTGCTATTTGTGTTGTTAATATATGTTTAATTGAAATCATACCTCAAAAGATATGCATTTACCATCCTACCTGTATTATTAATTGATTTGAGATTGTCATGGTAAATTTTGTAGTAAGAATCAATTGGTTAATGATGTGATTGATATTAGTTTTCGTTCTTTTTATATCGTGCTGATATGCGATATTTATATTTGCATTTGTGAGTGATCATGAAGTTGTGATAAATTGATAATTTGTAATTCTTATATTAATTATTGCGGTCTAAGCATTAATTTATATTATATTTAACAATTGCTCGTAGAATAAATTCCTCTTTAGCACTAATTCCTAGTTGAGACTTTGAGTGGATAGTACTTCTCTCTAATTTTAATTGTTACTCATTACGTACTATTTCTAGCCATTCCTTCGTCGGAGTTTTCTTTGTACTCTAGTAAATATAGATAGATGATATAGAAAATGAGGAATAACTACTTCCCTACTAATTAACTTATGCTTTTGTTACATGTTTCGGACATGTGCCAAGTAATACTATTATCTTAGCTTATTAATTTGGGTTGTTAAATACTTAGATGTAATTATTCCTTATTATTTCCCTTTTATTTAAGCTACAGTATTCTCTATTGTTATTTGCTACACCTTTGCATAATTACACTCCATAACATAGAAAAGTGTACGAATTTATCTAATTCCTTTTATAAGGGCAATAAGGCACATTATTTTACATGGTTCGATGATCAATTGCTGCTTGTTACTCATGTCCATCCCCTTTCATTTCTAATCTTGATTTATTAGTGTTAAATTGTATAAATAGTAGGGTGATAATTATTTAGTGATGGAATTCATTTTTATAAAGTAATTTTGTTGTAGATTCTTGTGTGTATATATGTTTCCGGTTTTATCAGCATTTTGGTATCGCACATTAGTTTTATAGTGATGAGTAGTTGTAACATTATATATTGTGGGGTTTTTTACTATGAAATTTTAATTTCTCTATAGTGTTTCACATAAAGCATATGATCTTTAAAACCGTGGGTGATGTTATGTCGAATTATGTGCTACATAAGTTTTATGTATAACATAACCTTTATATTTTGAATTATGTGAAGTATCTCCGCTGACATGAGCACATGACATGTTAGTAACCTTATAAGTTGATAATTTTTAAACAATTATAAGTTGATGATTTGATACTAATGTACTAACATGATTCTAATGTTGAAATATTAATTGACGTGTGATTTTTTAAATTTGATTCTACATGATATTATATGCCTATATGAAGTCGGATTGTAGGAATAATGAGTAAATTGAACATAATATATTCATACATATGGACCTAAAGTTCGTTAAATTTATGAAGGGTTAGAAACCCTCAAAATAACATGAAGATACGTATAGATTTCAATTAGTTTCAAATGAGGTATGTTGCTTAAACAATCTATATCCGCGATACTAATGTGATTCTGAAAGAATATACAAAAGGTTTTGAATAGTGTTATGATATCGAACTTTGGGTGAGAATTAATGATTCATAGATTACAAGATCTACACACTCCCATAAGTGAATGAGAATTTGTGTGATTGAATAGTTAACAAGCATATTTGCATGGAATTTTCATGATTATAATTCATTATAAGGTTTATAAGGAATTGCAAACATGCTGATATATAATCGATTTGACCCAAAAATAATGTTTGTGAGTTTAAGAAATTGTGCATGATATTGTAAGCAACATTATTACTTGATTAATATATTTACTTTGATCATAGTTATGATGGAATCCATTTTAAAGATGAATGTAATTGGGCGATAGGAGCAATATAAAATAATTATACTATACTTGATACATGACATTTTCAAAAGAATTTATGACTTAAAAAGTACAAGGGATTTTTAAAGGTTGTTGAATTAATTTCATACTCCCATATGCAAGGATTAGGGGGACATAGTATTTATTCCATTATTTTATGTAATCCTTGTACACGAATAATAAGATATATTGATGGTAAGGTTTGGTACATACATTAGCTTGTTTTTTTTAGGTGGTCACATAATTATTAAATATTTAGAATGACACCATGCTGAAGATGGAAATGAATAAATGTCATTGACTATATACTAGGTGTAAATGCTCCAAATTAATATTTTCTAGAGATTATTTTTAGTAAAATTGATATTATATAAAATACTCTAGAAAATAAAGTATAAAATGTCCAATAAAATTAGCATTATCAACAAAGTCAATACAACTCCAGCAGAGTATGAGTTATTATTGGATCAAGTATTACTTAATTGTCTTGCCAATTGTAGAAATAAACACATGTTTGTGTTCCTATATCACATCATATTTATGGTCATGTATAAAGTAAGTCTAATAAAGTGATCACCGGCTAGTATTGGAAAACTGACCAGAATTTAAATTCGGAAAAGTGATTCGATGTGATAATTACATTGGGCCATTCGGGTTTAATGATTACTCGTTATGGAAACTTAAAGTTTCAATTTGATTTGATAAAGTGATGACACTCTTTCATGTTAGATATATGAAATAAATTAAATGGCAAGACATAACATTGAGATTGAGCTATATTGGGATTGTAATTTTAATAGTTTGGTTTGAAGGAATTTTCCAAGAGATTATATATTAATTTTGAACAACTTTGTATATGAACATGTAATAAGTGACCAAAAGTTCACATGTAACTAGAAGTTCATCACAATACCTTATATGTTATTCACTTTTAAATGACTAGAAGCACACCAAAGTAACTTTTAAGTGGATGTTTTTTTTGGGTAATTTAACTCCCACTATTAAAGTTTTGGGATCCAGGAGATCACCATGTAGTGAAATTACATAAAAGTTATTTATGTTTATATAACAATCTCTTGATGGGATTATTATCAGTCAGCATAAGAATAAAGAAAAGAAATGATGAATAACTGCACAATAAACTCCTCCCCATGGATAACACAATATTACTCTAAGAGATAAACTGTGTTGAATATGATCCTCCTAAAGAATTTTGTTGCACAGTTTATACCAAGTTAATTAAGAATTTTGAAATATTTTACCAACTTAGGAGGAGAAGAAATGGAATAAGTTGGCAAAATTTGGAATTATTACTTGATCCGATCCCTATAATCGGTAATGTGAAAGGTTTATATGTCAGGCCAACAATTGTCTATACATTATTAAGATAAGTTGTGCATAACTCTATGATTTGATTTGTAATTAGTTACAACCCATCTAGAGGTGTAGAAGATATATTTTGGTTATAGTGAAATTATGTACATACGTTGAGATAAGTCTTGCCAATATTTACTAATTGAATCTCTATGTACAGATAAAGTGTATATTATTGGTTCCAATATAAAGATGTGAGACGTGGCAAGAAAGTGCAGTTGATATTTTTGAAGTGTATAAAACATCGATAAAATAATATAGTATGAAATATCCCAAAGTGGAATAGATATCTGAATTATATTACGTGGCCCACATTATTAGTAAAGTATGATGGTACCAATGAAAAATGTATTCAGAATAAATGTTGATTAGCATGCGAATGTTACATGTTGAAATAATGTTTATGATACCGGTATATAATGGAGCCGACAAATATGCATATGCATAAGAAAAAGAATTGTGAAGAGGGGATCTGAATTATACGTCCATTTGATGTCGACATAAAGATAATAATTAAAGTTTATCATGGACCAGAAGTCCTATGAAATATGGATTTTTAAATCCAGGATGTACAGTGTCTTGCATTATTTTGAGTCTTACGTTCATGTGCATGTATTAGTCGTAGGTAAATGGATTACTCATTATATATATGTGTGTAGGATATTTCTAAATGCATTAGTCATTGTTAATTTTTGTTCAACATCATATCATGATTTCTATATATCATATTGCATGCAGCAATGCACTAGTTTTTATATAAAAATTGTGGTATATGCAAATGTTCGTCCAAGGTATCTTAAGACAAATTTACAACTTTCATTGATAATTACAAAGTGATATTTATTTTC